CAACTTCATACGAGCGCGGCTAAGACTGGGATTTATTTCGCCGTCACTCGGCATGCTTATCCACAACCGAAGTTAAAATAATAGGATAAATTGTTTACTTAAAATTCTAATTGTGAAGTAATTATAATTTGATTCATCGTACATGTATCGTTCTGTATCAATCTTCGAGTTATGCTGCCATTGGCTGCTTGATTGAAGCTGTACTGAGCAACCCAGATAAAACACTTGCTGAAATTTCAGASGACATTTACAGGCAGACAAACTCCTCATTTGCTTTATCAACGCTGCACTATTATTTAAAGAGAAGTGGAATTACACGCAAAAAGGTAAGCATGCACTCAACGAACACATTTACTTATGTTTGTATTTCGTTACTGTCGATTGGAAATAAAGTATGGRCTACTATAGCTATTTATTTTGCTAGAGGACATAAATAAATAGATATTATCGAAAAAATAACAAAATAAGAAATAAAATATAGCCGACTTGGAAAAAAATTAGATGAAAAAATGAAAACCCGTTTCGTGTCAACCGCCACATGATTGTTCCATTGATTTGCATTGTTTAGATTCACAAAATCGCACTKCAGAGAAATTAGGATAGGCGTGCACAATATTGGTGTGACATCAGCTTGTTTCCTCCTGAAATGCTCGTTTTCTTGGATGAAAGTGGCTTTGTAAGTAAACATATCTAGACTATGTCAATTTAGATTGCACAACTTTTGTCGTTTCCTCGCATTTATTACCTAATTCTTCGATGAGATATTTAAATAATTTATTTCTCTTTTTCAAAGGACAAAAGAGTTTGCAGAGAATATGGCCATAGTTTTATGGGCACTAGAGCTGAGGTAGTAAGACCACACCAAAGTTGGGGACCTCGAATATCTGCAATCCCAGTAATATCTAGCAATGGTTTACTAGATGTCGGACTATCGCGGACATGTAGACGAAGTCAAATTTTTGGATTTCGTTCATAATGTTCTAGCTCCTAACGTGCTTCCATTTAATGGTGTTAATCCTCGTTCTGTGGTTATCATGGGTACGTACGTCAATACGTTAGGTCGATATAGGAGATAATGAGAGCATATTGCTAAATTTATCTTTCAGATAATGCTGCTATTCACCATACCAGAGCTGTTTTGGATGCAATCAATGGTACYGGTGCACTCGTAGTGTTTTTGCCAYCGTATAGCCCTGACTTCAATCCCTGTGAAAATATTTTTTCTATGGCCAAGAGTTGGATCAGGAGTAATGATGTGATATGGCGACTGTGTAATGAACCTGAGCGTATGGTGCAGCAATCATTTTTGAATGTCACTGTGCAAGACGTCATCAATTGTATAGAATACACTGCATACATGTAATTTTTATTAGACTCCTGTCGTAGGTTATTTTAGTTTATAATGCCTCTATTTGTAGAYGTACAATAATGCGCACTGCACTATGCCGTGGTAATAACTGTTTAAAAAGATTTTTTGCTCTTCTCTTTTTATTCTTTATCAGTTAGTAAGAAAAACTGAAACAYACACACAAATACTTCAGTTATACATCTATTATAAGTTTTACAATTCTTGGAGATAAGCAACAAGTTTTGCCCTCTCCTTGTTGAATTCATCAGTTGAAAGAATGCCGTCATCGTTAAGGGCTTTGATGTCCTTCAATTGTTTGATTATGGCATCACGCTTTTGCATCTGAAATTAAGAGAAATCAAAGTGTGTTAACAAATTATATCAATACAAAATGGGTAACATGTGGTTGTAGGAAAAACAAATAAAATAAACCGTGTCATTCTCCGACTTGACCATACATGTAGTAGTACTACTACTAGAAGYGCCGTCATCACCAGAATTCCGTTTTCTTGCATTCCCTGATTTTCGTCCTAGGAAGAAGGGAAATTGCGGAATTTCTTCCTCGCTTTTATGGTTTCCTTTAATCTAGAAGAAAATAAAAGAATGAAATGTTATGTGTTAATTATCATTAATGTGTTGTACAAAAATTTGCACGTGGAGTGTACGTGCAGTGATTCTTTTGAGATTAAATGAAATATGAACAGCTTATATGGGTATCAAAAGGCTTACAGATTTCTTAAACATACTACAGTATACTTGTTTAGATAAAGTGTATGTATTCAAGAAACTCTATATAAATTCGTGCAATTTTACTACGTGTTAATAAGAATTTAGGGGCAGAGTAACAAAGAATTGTTTACAAATGTAATTAGTGCAAATTCAGTATAAAAAGTWGATGACAGTAATTCACAACAGTGTTTACCGCAAAAATTGAGYCAAAGCTCAATCTTCCGCKGAACTTCTAGACTTCAGAGAAATTTTAAAGCAATAATAATGTGTACGTTCTCAAGGCGCAGGAATTTTAAATCAGGTMTCACCAACATTTTTGCCCACACTCGAATCTTAAACTCTTCTACAGTTGGTATTATTCCTGAACRATGGAATGAAGAGTTCGTAACTGATGTTGAGAAARAAGTCGAGTTCGCAACTGATGTTGAGAACGAAGTCGAAATATCTGCAAAGACAAGAGAAGTTGCTACTCAGACGGATTTTGTTGAACTGAAGGATTCACACATTCAGACTGATGCTACAATCCCGGACAAAACCTGTTGAGACAGTGGCATTTTTCGCGCCTAAATACTCCCAATTGTCATCTTTCTAAAAAGTCACTATTTCTGATCCTCCCCTCCCCCCACAGTTCAATGTTGTGTGTTAGACGTGATGCTAGAAGGGTGTGCATGAATGTTCAGTCCCTTCAACATTGATTTGAGGGGGAAAGGGGGAGATTTTTTAAAGAAAAACTCCGATAGGTCATCGAAATTCAATCTATTTCAAGAAATGTCTCAACAGTTTTGTCCGGGATTGTATTTTGACAGTATTTGATTTTTACGCGAAACATGAATGTTAGCATAGTAAAAGTGCTTATAAAATATTAGATCTCATGTGCACAAACTTTAACATGTACCTTTTTAGCTTATAAAAACCACGGGTAAGAAGTTACGATCAAATAAACAGTATCGCGCTACTTTGTGTCAAACCTAAAAATAGGCCCATTGCATATGCTAATTATATTATGTCGCAATCTCGACCTTTTGAACGACTATGGAACGATTACTAGAATATGAGAGCGAAAATTCCGACATAGAGCAACCCCAACATACTCCTGAAACAGAATCATTGAACAGGAATGCTGTTAGAAGTACATATCTTGTTACTTACAGTCAGGCTGATACTGAAAAGTTTGCAACGCGCGCTGAATTTGCATCAGC